AGAAAATAAGGAAGCGATGAATAAGGGCCCAATAAATTGGGCATCATTCTAGGCTTTGTCCATAAGACAACGATTACAGATGTAGCATCCAGCAAAAATAGCATGACAAATAGCATTTTTTTTTTTTTTTCTAATTTTTTTTTCTTGATATTAGAATCACTTTTGTTTGGGGTCCTATTAGCCGAGCATAAAAGAATATGTTAGAAGTTATATTTGTCATATATCGTTAATTTCGTAAATTGTTATCGTGTATATATATATATATATATATATATATATGTGTGTGTGTGTGTGTGGTTGGACCCTCTCTTTCCTTGAGTTAGTTTTTGAAAGTGAGTTCTACCCAAACATGTTTATCAATTAAAAATATAAAAGAGTTCTACATATACAAAGTTGGGACATAATATTATTGATTTAACTATTTGTATGTTATTGAAATGAAAAAAGTTGCAGCTCAAATAATTATGGGTGCGTTTGGTTTATTATTTTGGATAGGATTTTTGAGATAGTATTGGATAATTGGATAGGGTTATTATAACGAGGTAAAATTTAAAAATTTACAAAAAAAATCCCCTAAGTTTACTAATTTAACTAAATACCTCAATATATAAATTTTTTTGTAAAATAACAAAAACACCCTTGCTCACCCACAGTACCAGATTCCACCCACCATTGCCGAAATCTGACGTTATGACTCAGATTGGTCGGATTTGGCCAGACGTGCGTCAATCTAGTCGTCAACGACCGGAAAAAGCCAGATCTGGCCGTCGCGATATGACTGTCATTGTCGCTTAACGATGGCCATTTTTTTGACTGTCAGTCCAGATCGGTAACTTATCTACCAGTTCCGATGGTTTATAGGCCGTTGTGACAGATTCTGACTACCACTAACGGTGGTTGCCGGAATTTGGCAACTATGGGTGAGTGAGGTTGTTTTTGTTAATTTTTAAATTTTTTTTTTTGGGGGTATTTAATAAAATTAATAAACTTAAGAAGTCTAAATATAATTAAAAAAATATAATAGTATTTTTTAAATAATTAAGTAAACAAATATTTTAAAAATATGGATAGGAATAATAAACAAAAAGCAGCCTCTGTTATCATATATGAAATCCAATCTATTACAATACAAGGCCAATAAACCTTGGCCCATTCGCACTACTTGTCATCACACAATAAGGGTATTTGGGAAAAAAATACCCTGAAAGGGATGAAGCCTAAGCAAATAATAATCAAGACCCCTAAAAGATACAAGGTCTTGTAACTTATACAATAATATATAGTCTATGTAAATCCAAATATTTTTAGTAGAACTTATAGAAGTAAAGCTATTCATCAATTAACTATTGCAGTCGTACGCAGAGGCTTCGACCGCCTTCTGAGGTTGCCCATCATGCAAGCAATTAATGGGAGGAATAGTCAAAGTTTCTTGAGTTCCATAAGCGTTCCAGCAAAAGGGATCATCCAGTAGTTGTCCCTCGTATGGTAGAAGCTCAACATCAGCCATTACTATATCTGTGCAGGCCACAGTGTCACTGCAGGCAAAGTGGATTGGCGTGGTGCGAACATCGTAAGTTCCCTTTATGTTTCTGTATGTGACGCCTGTGACATACACAGCTGAGGTTTGGTTTCGGCATTCTTTTGATAAGCAGTAGTATTGGTCTATGTTTATGCAGTTTCTAACGTTCTCCATTTGGATGTTTTCAAATGATATTCCCGATACGGAGCCTGACCCGCCTTGCCATGTCTTGATCCTCAGCCCATTGTCCGACTCTCTTATGTTTGCATTGCG